GCTGGGGATTCGAACCCGCCACCTTAGGTGTACATGGCTGGCGCCTTAGCCGGTTGAGCTAAAGGAGCCGAGCCCAAAATGATTCTTATCTAGCAGGTGTAGCAAGATCTCTATTTGGGGCAGCGCTTGTGGGTAGGGCGCCAGCCCTATATACTAAGGGTGGCAGGTTCAAACTGGCCCTGGCCAAATTGCAACAAAAAAATACCTGGGCATTGTGGCAGGTGCCTATAGTCCCAGCTACTCGGGAGGCTGAGGCAAGAGAATCACCTAAGCCCAAGAGCTGGAGGGTGCTGTGAGCTGTGTGACGACAGGATACTCTACCAAGGGTGATAAAGTGAGGCTCTGTCTCTACCAAAAAAAGAGAAAAAAAAAAGAAAAGAAAAAGATCTCTATTTGGAAACATCCTATTACTTAAGTTATAGAACTATACCTGTAAACAAACAAGCTTTTTTTTTAATTTTTTTTTTTTTTTTTGAGCCAGAGCCTCAAGCTGTCCCCCTGGGTAGAGTACTGTGGCATCACAGCTCACAGCAACCTCCAACTCCTAGGCCCAAGTAGCTGGGACCACAGGTGCCTGCCACAGTGCCCAGCTATTTTTTGGTTGCAGCCGTCATTGTGTTGGCAGGCCCGGGCTGGATTCGAACCCGCCACCTTAGTGTATGTGGCTGGCGCCTTAGCCACTTGAGCCATAGGCGCCAAGCCAAAAAACCTTAAAAAACACAAATGTTAAATTAAGAGTTTCAATTAATTCAAATCCTCAACAATTAATCAAGATTATTGAAGTGTACTACGAGAATTAAAGAAAAATCCAAAATTTTATAAACAATGTTTAAGCTACCAGCTCCCAAATTCAGAGAATGCAATCTTCCATTTAAATCAATAACTGAATCATTCATACTTACAGCAAAATGAACTTTCAAACTTTATGAAATCTGTGCCATCATATTAACCATGATAAAAAAAAAAGTATGAAACCTGTGAGTAGAATTACCTGTAGCTCCCAGTGGGTGTCCCTTTGAAATCAATCCACCACTAGGATTTATGACCCATTTTCCTCCATAGGTATTATCTCCTCTATCAACCAGTGTCCCACCTTGTCCTACATAAAGAAAAACAGTGTTCACAAAAGTTAAAATAATGTTGGAAGAAATGATATGCTCTTTAAAAAAATGACTATATAGCCAAGAATTTCTGAGAGCAAACA